GTGAGGTTCTGTCTAGCAGGTGTAAGCTAATAAAGTAACTGAGCAATTCCAGAACCGTCCCGTGGAGTTTCTTGGGCTGAACCTGACAGACGCCCAGAATAATTGCAGTATTCTCTGTAGGACTGAGTGCCTACAGGCAGCCTCTGCTGAAGCAAATTTATCAACCTTGTAATATCTAATAAAACTAGTGGCCTCATCCTGAGTTGCTGTCCTATAATTGTCTTCCAGCAACATGCCCAACTGCTGCTAAAGCCAATGATCATTTTAACAAATGATGTGATATATGCCATCATCTGTCAGAAATGCCCCGGTGGATTCTAACATAGGATGCAAAAGACTTAATGGACACAAGTTTGACATCAGGACTGAAGGACAAAGTAGTATCACAGCATTTCAACCTATCAGGATACTCTTGCAGATCTCAAAGTAATTATTTTGGATAAATGAGATTTCAACAGCACCACTGAGTCAGAGATTGTTGAATTCACATATGTGAAAAGGTTTCAGGCTACCTTAAAGAGTCTCAAACAAACACAATGGGGTTTTAACACACTACAACCGTTAATTGAGAAATCCCTGTAATCAGTCTCACATGTAACCTGCACCTGCATAACCAACTTGTCATCCCCTCCCTTCCCCCCGCCTCACCCCAGTTTAAACCCTACGTCAATCTAGCTAATTTGTCAGTGTGAAGAGGTGATACCAGACTCCTTCACAGTATCTTGTATTAACCATATTGTAATTGTTTAAGCTGCAACATGATTAATTAAATGAAACTTCTTAATTTAGGAGTTGGGCCTACTAGTGAAGGCCTGTTGCTTATGAGTATGTTATGAAGATTGGGGAGTGGGGGGACCACAATATGGAGCTGCTTGAATACAGAACAGCTTAATAAAGGGGATGAATAACTGGACATAAACAATGCATGATGAGGTGAGGTGGCACAACACCTTGTGACAGATAGACCTAAAGATGCTGAAAAGCAGATCTCTAAAACCTCCATCGAGAATTGCTCATACAACTTGGTGGTGCCTGGACCAATTAACAATGGAAGGAAAAGGAGTTGGCTGGTAACGGATGAGATCCAGTGAGAAGATCTAAACCTGAATGACTAGAGGTGCAGCTGGACGTATGCAGACTGGTGTTCAGAGACTGACCCAGAGGGCTTCACCATCCTGTAACGATCTCCCACCCGCTGATCCCAAATCCAGTAACTTTCCTTGCAACCAATATTGATTCAAAAGAAAGTTCATTTATTGAGAACAAGTGTACCGTTCCAAAGCATTGCTAAGACTGAGCCTAAGTGCACCAAAAGTTGTTTTTCTTACTTTACCCCCCTATACCCCCCTTAGTTCCTGGTCTCCTGATTCCCTTGCTGGTATGACTTTGAGCATGCCAGCGCCTGTGATAAGGAGCCATGTGCTTTT